GGACATCAGCAGTGATATCCCTCATTCCACGGCCTCTTCTGAATCTGCCTTGAACCTCTAGAAGTTCTCTGTCAGCATATGCTTGCAGCTGTTTCTGTATTACCTTTAGTAAAACTTTACTCGCATGGGATACCAAAGAGATGTCCAATGATTTCTGCATTCCGTTGGGTCACCTCTCTTTGGAATGGGCACAAATGTGGATCTCTTCCAAACAGTCGGCCAGATGTCTCCCAAGTTTCTTGGCATAGATAAGTGATTGCCTCCTGTGCCGCCTCACTTTCTTGAAAGATTTCAAAATTTATTCCATCAATTCCTGGTGCCTTGTTCTTTGCCAGTTCCTTCAGTGCACCTTGGATTTCCTCCTTAAGGATCATTGGCTCTGGATCATATGAGGAAATGGCAGTTAGATAATTTTCTGTGTTACAACAGGAAAACTCTGTTAAGAAAGCGTGTCATATACCTTCCAGGCAGATAGACATATTTAAGTCCAGTGTATTCTCCACAGACTGCTCTAGGGTAGATAGTGGTTTCCCCACTGCATTGTGACAGATGAGGTGAATTAAGGTGTTTTCAAATTCCTCTGGTGACCTTTTAAGCTTCAAACTTTTCTTACAGCTCCATCTTGAGTTCTTGGAGAGAGAGTGTCCCTCTTATTTTTGGTGTGCTCTCCCAATGCCTGGTTGGATGAAAACTCAGGTTCTCGCCTAATCCTACTTTCTTCTTCCTCTCCTTTACCCTAATCCCTCTCCTCTCCCTTTATTTTCCTCCTCTCTCAACTTTTCCCCTCCCCTCCTGGATAATTTTCCTGAAGATGGATTCCTAAAAGGGAAATACATTTTAGGGCTTTTGATAGGTAAAGGGGCTTCAAAACACTTGCAGAAAAATTTCATTATCTTTCAATTCCAAGTTTTCACAAACTTTTTGAAGCTCCCTTAGTGGCGCTGTGGGCTAATGCATCAGACTGCAAAGTCATTTGAACTGCCAGAAAAGTGGTTCAAGCTCACCAACTGCTTCTTGGAAACCCTATACAGGGTCGCTATGGGTCAGAATCGAGCCGACGGCACTTAACTACTACTGCTATATGTTTCCAAATTATTCTTCAGGAAGGTTGTTCCAGTTAATAGTAATAGTAGTCTCACCCCCTGCTTAAACTCCTTCAGTGACACCCTGTTGACCTGAAGATACAATTCAAGCTCCACTCTGGCTGATGAACAGTGGTGTATTGGTCAATGTTGAACAACAAGCTCTCTTGTGGGAAAATCCCTAGTTTGTAGTTTTTGCTGATGCCCATAATAAAAATAAGGAGTCCTGATGGTGCAGTGGTTAAGTGCTCAGCCAATGAAAGTTCAGTGGTTTGAACCCAGCAGCTTCTCAACAGGAGAAAGATGTGGCAGTCTGCTTCTGTAAAGACTGTTGTTGTTAGTGATGTTGACTTGTTTCCTACTCATAGCAGCCATGTATTGGGTTTCCAAGGAGCAGCTAGTGGGTATTGGTGGTAGTGGTGGTGGTAGTGGTGTGCCATGGAATCAGTTCCAACTCAGCGATACTGCATAGGGTTCCGAGGCTGTAAATCTTGATGGGAGCAGAAAGCCTCATCTTTCTCCTGAGGAGCAGCTGGTAGTTTCGAACTGCTGACCTTGAGGTTAGCAGCCTGACTCGTAACCACTATGCTACAGCCTTGGAAATGCTATGGGTCATTTCTCATCTGTCCTAAAGGGTCGCTATGAATCAAAATTGATTTGATGGTAACAGGTTAATTTGGGGGTGGTTGCAAACAGTTAAGTGTTCACTGCTAACTGAAAAGCTGGCAGTCTGAGTCAACCTAGAAACATCTTAGAAGAAAGGTCTGATGATCAATTTCTAAAAAGTTAGAGACACTGTGGAGCATAGTTCAACTCTGATACAGTTGGGGTCAGAGTTGACTGCATAGGAAATGATATGGTTTAAATAAACATCAGCAAACACTGCTGCTCTCCCTTTGTGAAGAAGAAAACTGAGGTGCAGAGATGATACAGTTAAGGTACCCATGGTTGCCCAGAGACAGCTAGTGTGCCTGTCTCTAATACCCTTCATCTCAATCACTGCCTCTTAGGCACCCACCAGGCTCTCTTTTGGTCTCCTTGCCATCTTGCTTCTGCAGTTTGAGTTGTAATCTAAAGAGTGTGTGAGGTGCTCTGGTGGTGAAACCTCTCTTTCGATTTCTGTTCACCAGCTGCTCGGGAGCAGCAGATCCTGGAGAAACAGAAAAGAGCCAAGCTCCAGTATGAAAAGCAAATTGAGGAGCGATGGCGAAAACTGGAAGAGCAGCGGCTACGGGAGGACCAGAAGAGGGCTGCTGTGGAAGAAAAGAGGAAGCAGAAGCTCCGAGAGGAGGAGGTGAGGCCCAGAGCACACATCCCAGCTTTCCAGCTATTGCCTTGGCTTGCACAGGCTTTGTGTTCAGGGCAACTGGCTAAATAGATGCTTAGCTCTGGGGTGTGAGATTCACTCCTGTGCCTTCTCCCTGGTGGCTTAATATACCTGCTTCCAGTAACATGGTGCCAGACAATGAAAGCAGCTCTGTAATAGGACAAAGAGATTTGTCAACTCCAGTGTTAATTCGCTGTGTCATCCTGGACAAGTTAGCTGGCCTCTATGGGCTTCCTTGTCTCTGAAATGAGGAGGTCAAATTTGGTGGTTTCGAGGCCTCTTCCAGGTCTAATTTATGCTAAGTAAAGATTTGGAGATGGTTGCTGATAGAGATTTGATGGTGTACAGCCGAAGTTAAGACTGGGAGGGGCTGTTGATACACGTTTGGTGGTTTAAGCCAGAGAGTTGTAATCTGAGTTAAGGCTGGAAGGGGTAATTTATAAGGAGTTGGAGGTGTTGGCTTGGGGGTCGCAGCTAATGTTAAGCCTGGGCAAGGTTATTGATAATGACTGGAGGTTGTAACCTAAGTTAGAGGTTTTAACTTGTGTTAAGATTGGGAGGGGGTTATTGATAGGGACTTGGTTGTGTAGACCTGGGGATTGTAACCTAAAGTAAGACTGGGAAGAAGTTGAGAGGGACCTGGTTGTGTAGGCTTACGTGTTGTAGTATGAGTAAAGACTCTGTGTATGGAGGGGGTGGAAATGATCCTTGCTGTGAAGATTTGGAGCTCTGGTAGCGTAGTGGTTACGAATCGGGCTGCGAACCTAAAGGTCAGCGGTTCGAAACTACCAGCTGCTCCGCGGGAGAAAGATGAGGCTTTCTACTCCCGTAAGGATTTACACCCTCGGAAACCCTGTTCAGGGTCGCTATGGGTCGGAACCGACTTGACGGCACGTAACAACAACAACATTGAGCTACTGCATCCTTAGGTGTAGGTTAAGTTCATCAAATTGTATCACATTACTCTTTTTTTCCTCTTCTTTCTTCTTCTGGTTGAGCTCTGATCATCCAGTCATTGAAGCCAGGTCAAATGGGTATTATCTGCAAGTGTGGGTGTTCTTATCAGCCGGATGCTTCACTCTCCACTCTAGTCCTCTGTGGCTATGTCACTGACTCTGGGACTAAGAGTCCCCAGGTCTTGCCACACTGCTGGCCAACCAGGTCTTCACCCGGATTCACAGGAGTGTATTGAACGTTGTAGGGCTTAGCTTCATTGCTGTTTTTCCCTCAATTCCCCTTATCGGTGACAAATGTGGTCACCAATCAGAGCGTGTATTCCCATTGAGTCTTAGTTAGTCTTGGAAGGGGGTTTGCTCTAAGGGGACCCGACTACTTGTCCTGATGTCTCCTGGGCGAGCAACTTGCTTGTTCTTGTAGTAATCAGTCGGTCTGCTTATATCGTTTTGTATTTTTCCTGTCGGTCTTTCTTTCAAGAAGTGTCTTCTGTTCTTCTAGCTGCTCCAGGCTGGTCTGCCCGTCCTTTCCAGTGGAAATTTGCCACCTCTGAAGATTCTGGATGCTGTTCAGGATTCCACCTATAGTCTTATGTAATGCAGAGGCTCCACAGGAAGCCTCCTTCACTGGGCATGTTGTATCCCCATTGTAGGTATTCCAATCAGTTATAGGCAAAAGGCGGACTTACAAGCTTTCCAGGTGATATTTCTGGCTATTCCTTTCTCTCCCCCTCCAGTGTCTATATTATAATGGTATGCAAGGGAAACCAAGAATCAAAAGACAGCCAAGCATCTTAACATTATTTCCCCCCTTTTCCCTAGTGCAGCCATGTCTCAATACCTGAATCCCAGAGCCCTGTTGTTCCAAGGTTGTGCATACATCATTCTTTACCTCTGTCCCACTTAGCCCATGCACACCTGCCTAATTGTTCTCCCATCTGCTTTGTTCTTCCATTCCCCTCCCCCTTCTTGTATATTGTCACCCTCCCCAGCACCCAAACTATCCTGTGTCTATTCCCTGCCCTGTGCTCCACCGTCCTTCCCTACCCTCACCTCACCCCCCACATCCCAGTTCATTATGATTTTGAGTTTTGTTCTACATTTGTCTTGGCACTGTATCCAGGACTTTCTAATGGGATCCCTTTTCAGTGCCACTGGTATTGGTTGCTGGGCACAGTATACTTCTTCTGATCTTAAGGCTATGGAGATTGGTGTTGCATGGTACATTAGTGCATTGAACTAATTGTTTGCATGTGTCTTCGATTTTCTTCACTCTTCTTCCCAGACAGGGAGAGATCAATGGTTAACCTTTAGATAGCTGTTCATGAGCTTTTAAGATCCCAGTTTTTACTCACCAGAGTAGAAAGTAGCATATCATCCTTGTGTACTATGTTATGCCAATTGACCTTAGTGTCCCCTGAGACCATGGTCCTGTATCCCCAGGCCCAGCAACTCATTCCCTCAAGGTGTTTGGTTATAACTAAGATGTTTTCATAACTTTACTTGTTGAGAAGAGGTTGTTTATAGCAACCTGGTTGTGTAGCACAGAAGTTTGTAGCCTAAGTTAAGGCTTGGAGGAGGTTGTTGATAGCAACTGGGTTGTGTAGGACAGGAAGTTGTTAGGGGGTTATTGATAGAGACTTGGTGTTTTAATGAATTAAGACTAGATGTTGACAAGTGACTTGGTAGTGTAAGCATGGGAATTATAACTTGAGCTTAGACTGGGGGTAGGGTGGGGATTGTTGATTAGGATTTGGTGGTGTTGGCCTAGAAGGTTGCAGCCTAAATTATGACTGGCAAGGATTGTTGATAGGAATTTGGTGTTGTCCAAAATTAAGACAGGGAAAGGATTGTTTATCGGGACTTCATTGTTTCAGCTTAGGTGTTGTAACTCAAGTTAGAGGTTGTAACTTGAGTTAAAACTGGATAAGGTTGTTGATAGTTTAGGACTGGGATTACAGTGTGTGCCTCCATGGAAGACACAAGGACAGGGTAATAGCATGGAAGTTTCTGTCTCCAAAGTAGAAGACATAATGCCTGAGGAAGCAGTTTGGTGAAAGTGAATAACATGTTTCTCAACTACCACTGGAAAATGGAATAGTCTCCCTTTTTAAGTATCATAGTGACCCTGTATAGGTATTCCAGAGGCTGACTTCTTTATGGGAGCAGAAAGCCGCCTCTTTCTCCTGCAGAGCAGCTGGTAGATTCAAACTGCTGACCTTGAGGTTAACCGTCCAGCACTGTCAGGGCTCCTATAAAAAATGCTAGTGTTTAAATTTTAATGTATGTCTTTGCTTTAATCATCTTTTCTTTCCAGTTACTTTTAAAAAGAGAAATGGAATGTTATTCCCCTTATTACTAAACTTTGAAAATATATTTAGAGAGCACATTTAGAGTATAGATTTTCTTAACACATGCAGTTTAAGAAAATCATAGGCTTGTATCAAGTGGTGATCATTTTTTATTCATAAGGTACAATGACTCACCTTTTGGTATAAATATGAGGGGACTTCAAAACGTTCATGAAAAATGGAATGAAAAGATAATAAAAAATTTCCCATAAACTTTTGAAGTTGTGGACTCCTGTTGTGGCACTGTAGGATAAGCACTGGACTGTGTGACCCACAAGGTTGGTGGTTCAAACCCACCAGTAGCTCCTCGGAAACCCTGTACAGGGTCGCTATGAGTCAAAATAAACTCAATGTCACTTAATAACAACAAACATGATACAGGGATTTGTTAATCACCTACATTATCAGTTTCAGAGACATATCTGTGTATTCTTTTTTGTTTAATGTCTGGACAGTTTATCACTGCATGTCTACCCTTCTTCATTTTAAGTTAACAACAAACACATACACGATTGAGCCTGGAGTACTTCTATTATATTCTATAGTGTTTCTATGAGGCCGGAAGCGACTCAACAGCAGTAGGTTTGGGTTTTGGTTTTGGTTACCCAAGAAGCAACTACTTCCATGGTAGTTTCATTGTTCCTTTTAGCAAATGAAGGCCTATGCTATACACTCATCCCTGGTTCACTGTTGTGGGCTGTAGTCTGATACTGTGGCATCAGTTCAAATCCTAGCTGTATTACTTAGCAGCTGCAAGGCACAGAACCCTTTAACTGTCTTCTCATCCCAGTCTAGAGAATACCACCACCTGCTTCCCAGGTCATTATGGGCAGGATCAGAGATGACTTTGGTGAAAGTGCCCAGCAAATTCCGAATTCTAAAATGTTAGATTCCCTTCAGCTACTTTGGATGACCTTGACTGAACAAGGTCAAAAGGGAGCTCCAAGAAAAGAGGGTGGTTTGGAATCTGTTGTTGTTAGATGCCATCGAGTCAGTACCGACTCATAGCGACCCTCTGCACAACAGACAAAACATTGCCTGGTCCTAGGCCAACCTCACAATTGTTTCCATGCTTGAGCCATATTGATGCTGCCACTTGGCCAATCCATCTCGTTGGGGGTCTTCGTCTTCCTCTCTGACCCTCCACCTTACCAAACATGATATCCTTCTCCAGCGACTGGTCCCTCCTGACAATATGTCCGAAGTATGAGAGATGAAGTTTGGCCATCTTGGCCTCCGAGGAGCACTCTGGCTGCGCTTCTTCCAAAACGGATCTATTGGTTCTTTTGGCAGCCCATGGCACTTGCAATATTCTCCAACAGCATAACTAAAAAGCACCAATTCTTCTACAATCTTCCTTATTCACTGTCCAGCTTTTGCATGCCTATGTTGTTGTTGTTGTTGTTGTTAAGTGCCTTCGAGTCGGAGCCGACCCATAGCGACCCTGTACAGGGTTTCCGAGGGTGTAAATCCTTACGGGAGTAGAAAGCCTCATCTTTCTCCCGCAGAGCGGCTGGTAGTTTTGAACCACTGACCTTAAGGTTCGCAGCCCGATTCGTAACCACTACGCTACCAGAGCTCCTTGCCTATGAGGTTATTGAAAATACCATGGCTTGGGTCAGACGCACCTTAGTCCTCAAGCTGACATCTTTGCTCTTCAACA